ATATACAGAGCCTGCACCATCAAAACATACATAATAATATTAAACACTTTTTTTTTTAATGTGCTCTTTGTAAATATACTCACAATATCCAGTAACTTATCAAGGCAAGCAGGGAGGACACTGTGTTTGTGCGTAAGGTGATGAGAGAGATTCTCACGGTCTGGTTGACTTTCCTGACATAGAGGGCATAACCACATTGACCCCCTGTTATTGGCACCTCCCAGAGTTTCTCCAGGCTCCTCCTGAAACCAAAGGTACATTATTATATGTAATAGTATTTAATCATATCTAAATAAAGCAAATATTTCTTTACTCATTCATTTTCAGAATTCGTTTTAAAGAAATTTTTTATTATATTTTACAGTATTTTTGTTTAAAGTACCCTCAAGCTGCATACTGTGTATTTGAATTGGTCCTTTTTTTAACACGTCAGTGATCTGAAAGAAATCTGATATCAACAAATACATGAAATAAATGCAGCACTTTATAAAGCTAAAGTCTTAATGGGCTAGTTCACCTTAAAATTAAATTGTCATCATTTACTCACCCTCATGTCATTCCTAACATGTATGACTATCTTTGCAGAATACAAAACAAGATGTTTTGTAGAACATCAGTGCCCAAACAACATTGGAACCCACTGAGACATTTTAAAAAAAATAATTTTTATGTTTCAGAGAAGAAATAAAGTCATACAAGTTTGCAATGACAATCATTTCTGGGTGAATTAACCCTTTCTTCAACAAAAAGGATTACAGTAAATAAAAACTGGACATACTTTATAGACAGCATCTAATGCAATAAAATTCTTTCTGACAGTGCACGTCTAATGTACAATCAGCACTAAATAGTTCTTCAGATCAAATAAGCTCAATCAACAAAACGTATACTTTAAAAAATGCAACAGTTGTCTCATTAATTAGATTAATTGACTTTGATGTAAGCTAACACTTACAAATCAAAACAAAACAAAACCACTATGCATGATAATGTTAGGACATATCACCATATATCAAACCACCCCTTTCATCTATTTAGAGCACCTTTACAATAAGGTCTGACATTTTGACTTATTTATATAGGCCATACAATCTGTGCTATGCACTTATAACAATACATCAAATTGATTTCACAGATGCAGTTATGTTCTTTTTGCTAGACACAACATAAATCTGTACAACCAATACCTTGCGGCTTGTTTATAATTCATGCATTTGAATGTACATCACTTCATATGAGGCATCCTATGTTAATCAGATCTGATAACACCCAGAATTATGCATACATTTATCACTTCTGCAATAACTAGGCTATTTAACGTCAGAGGAGGCCTAAATGTTGACCTTGACTGGTCTTATAATATGCTGATGTGAGTGAAATCATAATGTGGATCTGTCAACGTGTTGCCCCTTATGAATAAGGTGACATGGGCTGTAAATAACACATAATGGGTGCAAATCCCCTGGCAGTAATGTCTCTTTAAAACAATAACCCAAATAAATAAATAACACATACATTCAGAACAGAGACATAAACATCTTAATTGACATCTAAACGACTTCATTTACCGTATGCATGCAAAATCATTTAAATTATACAGTTTCTGGCTTCGTTTTTACATGCCACTGTCAAGGAACGAACAGACATCAAATGCCAACAGTGCTACGCCAATTAGCTTCCCTGCTAGACTGAAAACATGCACTGAATCCTCAACACAAGTACTATTAACTTCTACTAAAAGTCAAAGACAGACGAACCCACACGCCGCGGGACACTGCCGTTCGACAGCGAGCTCATATGGCCGCCATAACTCTTGATGATGTCGTTAATTAACCCACAGCCTAATTAGCAAGACCCGTGTGCTGTTGAATCAATCGGAAACGGAGAGCTTTAGCCTGCCTCGCTAACACACACATACACACACTCACTCCGGTGTAATCGTGACAAATACTCCATTAAAGTGCATCGCACTGCAGTCTGCTGCCCTAATTACCCCCTTTCCAACTTTAATCGCTGCAAAGCGACTGATTTTTGTGATTTCTTACTTGAAGGGTGATGTTAAAACAAAAGAAGCCGTTTTCTCATAAACATTCGTGGCACTTCACATGGCTAACGCGGCTAACAACACACTCAACAAATTGGTCAACTAATTATGTATCGCATATCAAAACGCAAATCGCCCACAAACTTCTCAAAGACGCAGAATTAGAGCTGCGAGAATAAATTAAAAGCTAAAACAATCGCAACGCTCGAGACGCTGCAGTACAAGTCTGCTTTAACGCACTAATTGAATTGTGTAAATAGGCTTTCGACTCTCAGATGTAAAACCTCGGGCTTGATTAGTTGCTCGCCCCCTGATTGTGGCCTGTTGGTCGGGCATTGAGACATTCCCCGCCCGCCGTCCGCTCCACAGCGGAAATTGCGGCCTACTTCGACTAAGCGATTTAATTAATGAATTTGGGTTGCTTCATACAGATGTTAAAAACAACCCGTTTGCCGTCCCCCTTCAGCGTTTATCTAACCCAAATACCTTGCAGTTGGCGGTCTAAGTTCGCCGTTTAGTATATAATGTTGTTATTGAGCATTATAAGTGTGTTTTAATAATTGCAGAACGCAGTAATTAACGCTGGATGAAGCGCATTGCTGCTCGAAAAGCGACGTGCAACACAACGAGCAGAGAAAGGGGGTGGCGGGGCCAAAATGAGAGACCGAGGCAGAAAAGTTGGGCTTTTAACACTCGAATTGTAACTAAATATTCGCAGTGAAATGGCATGCATCTAATTATTAGTCGTGCTCGGGACGCGATGAGATCCGCATCGCCCCCTCGATCGCAACTTCTTGAACAATTCGGCGTCAACATCGTTTAATTAACACTAAAGCAATTAGCTAAGGCTTTTACCTGCATGGTTGGGACTCCAGCACACGCTTCCTCTCGCTCTTTAAAACTGAAAAGTTTTCTCTCTCTCTCTTTCTCTCTCTCTCTCTCTCTCTCTCTCTCTCTCTCTCGCTCACTCTCGCATTGCTCTCCTCTAGTAAACACACGACAGCTCCCCCAAAAGCTGACTGCTCGCTCTCTCCAAGAATGTTCCTCTTCCCTCTAACGGTTTATTAAATGATTCAACACACCTAAAAAAGCATGTTGGAACAATGTTTGTTATACTGACATTAATTCAGTTATTTATACTCTATTTTCGATTCTCGTCTTTAAAAAAAGTATTTAAAAAAACCACATGCCAAAACAGAAATGTTTAAATGTAGGTGATTGTAACATATAAATAATTAATAAATATATTGTTTATTTATTTAGGCCTGTTTTGTTATTATTAATGCTGTGTTAATTATTATATGCTATCTAATAACCAAATAAAATAGTTCTAAGCGAATAAATGTAATCTAATAATTAAAATGAAAATGCAGTCTGGTCTGATCTGCAGTGCTGATGAAACTGATTGCACACAGACTTGTTTATTTAAATAAAAATACAAAAATCGTTAAGCAACTTTGATATTTAGCCACATTAATACAGAAATAAATGCTAAAGTCCTTTTAGTGTATGAATATTATGCTATGACTCGAACATATACTCTGCATATAATTTATTTTTTTGTTAAGTAATTTCTTAATGTTCGGTAGGCTATATTAGGCTAATGTTTTATCTATCTATCTATCTATCTATCTATCTATCTATATTTACATTTATTAATTTAGCAGGCACTTTTACCCAAAGAAACTTACAAATGAATTCAAATTAACTAGGTTTTTGTCTTGATAAAAGAAAAAAAATATATAATCGATTTGTAGTGCTGTTCCACTTTCTTTTCAGCTTGTTTTTATTTATAACAACTGGATATTTGAGCAGTCTCATGGTCCTAACATGAAAATCGTATATATTTGATTATGATATATTATGGATACAATATTTACACTTATATGTATATTTTTGGCAATTTGGCAATGCTGTTGAACATGCTATTAGTTTTTATTTTATTTTGCTGTCTAAATATTTAAAACAAATCAAAACTGGATAAAGTAGCAATATGTGTTAGGCAATAACATATATGTAAAATGTCTAATCTTGATAGAAATACAGTATTTGTCAGTAAGTAATACTTATAATCATTCTGCAGATATTAGGCTGTCCGTAAATATGCCTGAACGGAAAAGCTGCACAGGACCCCGATTCCGCGTCTGTCCTCATTACACTACTGATTGATCAGTAAGTTTACTTGGTTTTTGTTTGATAGTTTGTTTTCATTGACTATCTCAACCGGATTTTTACCGCAGTTTTAGTTACAGTATAATTACCACTGTCTGAGCTAACAATTAATTAAACTGTTACCAATATTTGCTGTTGCCTGTGTCTCGAAACATACTGAGCTGCCTACCTAGACAGCATTTTTAAGTCAGTCCCGAAAGCGGAAAACTACTGTCTTACTAGGCAGCTCTCTTGGTTTTGAAACACAGCTGATCTGATTTGATTTGGCACTACAACATTACAGACTGTCCATTACTGCAGTCTTTAATTAATATAATGAATATGCCAATATTCAACTGTCTTTCTCGTTTTGATTTTTGTCTCATAGAACAAAATGACTGTAGAAGTTGAGAGAAAATTCGTTTGTGATGCAGAAATTATGTGGAAACTACAAGATATTGGAGGTGTGTTCACATCTTCTCATTATCCAAATGAGTAATTTATAACACACACACACACACACACACACACACACACACACACACACACACACACACACATATACATGTCTGGTTTGCTATCCTCGTGGGGACTCTCCATAGGCATAATGCTTTTTCTACTGTACAGACCGTATATTCTATTGCCCTACACCTAAACCTACCCCTTACAGGAAACTTTCTGCATTTTTAGATTTTCAAAAAACT